CTGATTGGTTTCTATGCAGAGCTGCACCAGATTCTGCACTCTCCAGTTTTAGTAAATAACACCTTCTGGCTCTCTAAGATGTTATTTTTACACCCAATCATGTAACTGACCTCTTGCCAATTAACCTAATTAGTTGCAAAATGTTTTTGAATTGTCTTCCTTTTTAGTTCCACTTACTTTGCCAGCTTTTTTTGCCCTATCCAAACTTTTTTGAGACAAGTTGCTGCCATCAATTTCAAAATGATTTAATTTTTTTCTTAAAATGGTACATTTGATTCACTTCAAACATTTGATATGTTTTCTATTTTCTGTTATGAATAAGCTATGAGATCATGAGATTTGCAAATCATTGGATTCTGTTTTTATGTAGATTTTATACAGCATCCCAAATTTTTGGGAATTGGAGTTATGACTTTTAACCTATTGCATTCTTGCTGCACTATACTTCACTTACTGTATTTGTATATTCTCCCTTTATTGATTGTCTGTATTTCACTTCCATCACTCAACTTCCTTGGCTAACAAATTGCTTCAATAACATCTCAGAGCATATTGTTTTTAAACCAGTTCCCACACTTGTAAATTTGCTTTATACATAAACAGATAAAATAACAAACTACGTATACATAAAAAAACTGTTGTATTAAAGGACACCTGCTATGAAATACATATAAAGTTTATTGTTGTAGAACTGATCATTCTAGGTGCCTAGCAGTCATATATTATTAACTCCTTTTTATAATTAAATAAGCCCTAATTTCTTGTTCTGCTCTCCCCGGCTTTTTTTAGCCATTTTAAACTGTTCATACAATATTTTATGCATTTCTATTATTTTATTCATTTTTTTTTTGTTTTGTTTATATCAGCACAATCAGCCGTTATTTTTCTTTGAAATAACTCTGTCATGCTTTGTGCTAAACATAATTTAGATGTCAAAATAAACAAGACAATTTTCAGAATAAAATGTGCATTTAATATTTATAGTAAATGATCATGTTAAACTGGAAAAAAGTAAATTTTCCTTTTAACCTGTAAAATATAATAAATATGAAATAAGTCTTTAAAGTTTGGTCCAATTTGTCTGAAAAACAAAACAATTTAAGTCTTTCTTCTCTATTATAAATAATCACAAAATAAAATGGACAATTTGAAGAATCAAATTCACATTTAATATCTATAGTAATTAATCACTTCAGACAGAAAAAGGTACATTTTGTACATTTTACTTTTTTTTTTTTTACTTTAAAATATATAGAATATGAACTATTAAATAAATGTTTGAAGTTAGGGCCATTTTGTCCAAAACAAAAAATGTATGTCTTACTTTTCCATTATAAGTTATCACAAAATCAGTCTTCAGCAACCCCTGTACAAAACATATAAATACATTGTAATTATCTGTTCCTGACAGTAGCGCTAACAATTAGCATCAATTTAAATTACATTTAACAAGCGCTGACAGTATTATTCCAGTTTCAGGTGATAAACGCTAAAATAGCTGCTGACAGCAGCTATGCTACACAGATTAGGACTTTGTATGTCAAAATGACAGCCAGAACTCGCAGCTACATCTGTCGGTGTGTGTCCAGAAGGAGAGAACACAAGGACAAACAAGGTACATTTTACATTCCTAAGGTGATTAAATAATCCACTGATGCAAAAATATGTCTAAAGGTGGCCATGTACACATCAGTATATGATTGATTTATTTTTTCCAATTGATTACTTCCCATAAGAATAATCATTCGATCGATATGCCACACACAAGGAAGTGGAATTCAATTGATAGTTACAATATATTAAAGAGTACCTGCACATTTGTTAAGAATAAAACATTCCCCTCTGGGTGATTAATGTACATTGTATGGATTTTAACAAGCTTCATTGCAGATTCCTACCTTTCATTATTCTGAAGAAATAGCTGTTTGTTTGTCTGTGTCCAAGTGTAGAGTGAATCTGCAAGTAAGTGATTTTATCATTATTAAAAAGCTGCTGCACCTGCAGGGCTCTAATGAGGAATGTGGCAGGAATGAGGAAAGTGGCAGGAACTGCCTCCCTTTAGATGTGATTTTGCTTTAATGGTATATCACCAAAAATGACATTTTTGTTGCAAGGGATGCCCAAAATCTGACTTGTGCAGACTTCTGGGAATATCAGTGAGCTAATAACACACAAGCAGGAAATTACATTTCTGGGGGCATTCTGTACACCATCTGTATACAGAATGCCTCCAGGTTGCCATATTGCATAGAATTTTACAGAAAATTCCAACACTGCAGATTGTATAGGAAAAGGAATTTTTTTGCAACACACAATTACAATATGACTTGCGTTGCACTTGTATACATAATATGATTTTTTTGGTTTGCTATTTCTTTTCACGAAAGTGGAGTTACCTTTTAAATGATCCATCTCTATTTCCACAATGTAAACTCATAACCTGACTGATCAAACATATTCATAAACAAAATATCTCAGTACTGATATTCAATACAAAATTGATTGAAATGTAAGTAATGACAACTTAATTGATTGTGGATTTGATTGTTTTGATTGAATTGCACATCGATCGGATGAAAGAATGAAACGTGTATGACCACCATTATTTGCATATGTCTTGTGGTATACCATTCATTTTTTTTTTTTGGAAACAGATAAACTAAGGTTTTCCACTAAAAATTAAACTGTATGCAGATTACAGAATTTAGCTGTGTCCTGCCCTCCGTACACTAGTTTTTTATACTTCTTAGAAAAAAAAAAATACTTTTCCCTCTGCCACAAATTTCCATAATTTATGTACATACTGTAGATAGGCTGTGATCTTGGGTTTATCTTTGTAATGTTCTATAACCATCCTATTTAAAAATTGATGCAATTGTTCAGTTCTACATTTTTTGCTGCAAAAAATATATGCTTTGCATATACAGCATATATATATATATATATATATATATATATATATATATATATATATATACTCTCAAAAAATTGATGAAGTGAAACACACAACAATAAAAAAAATATTTTGCTTTCCACACCTTGTATAAAATATTGACAATTTTTTACTTGTATTTTATTATAAAAAAAATATATTGGGAAATTAAAGTAATATTTTGTACAAATGCGAAGAAAGATGGTAACACTTTACTTTTTTTTTTTTAGCAGTCTATTTTTTTTTTATTCTCTGCTGCTAAAAAATAATTTTCATCTTGATGTAGAACTGTAGATTGCACATGACCATAGAAAAATATATCAAGTATCAGGTGCCTTCACCCCTGCATACCCCAAGCCAGAATGCATTATGGCAGCATAATAAAACCCCAGCCCTCCTCTGAATTATGGATTTTTATTCCCACATAAATGCACACTAAAGATAAGTAACTGAGATTGAGAGGCCCATTCACACGACCCAACGCAATAGATCCAGTTTCATTTCCAGAAGTTGTCTATCATAGGGACATGCTCGAATTTCAGACATCGAATACATGACTCATAGAGACAGGAAGGAGCCTAAAGGTGCAAAGGAAAAAGATTTATACAATACCAAATTCAATTTAAATAGCCTACCCCTCGAACATCACATTATCCTTTCAGCAAACTCTAAACATGACCGGACAGCTTGCCTCGCCAGTGTCTTGGTTTTGAATTTCCTCAAGCGGCTGAAGTTACACTGCTTTAGGCTTGAATGTCTTTGTTTTGTACTCTTATAAGTGTGGAAAATCCTTTATGAGCATACTTCCTTCAAACATACATTATCGACCAAATCTAACCTGAAGCATGAATGTTTGCTTGTTTTTTTCTCCTTCAGAAATACCTGGCTTCTCTCCAACGGTTGATGTTTTTTCTTTTATACACAACTGTTGTGGTAATTGAACATGTCTAATTTCTCCTACAATGCTTTCAAATGCACTACAGATTTGGGCTAAAAAATAACATTTTTAATTCTGGAACAAACAACCTTGGAGAGCCGTGGCTGTGCCTGGCTAATTCTCCTTCTCCCTGTTACTAATTCTCATAATATGAGTGTAATAGAAAAGCTCTAATCTTGGATTTTTTGTAATTAAGCATAGCCTTCCCATACGATAGTCTATTTAAAAGCATGTACAAAAAAAATTGGCTTTGGCATAACTGGTATTATTGACCAAAGTTGACCCATGTTTGTTCCATTTTTTTTGGTTATTAGTGTTTTCTTAGTTTTGAATAGATCGTGGAGGGGCCTTATTTTAGTCGATGTCCTTGTTGAGGAAATTCATCCTCCCTGGTCCTGGTCACCATTGTCTGAAGTACAGAAAGTGATGGAATATAACAGCTAAGTGTGGATATTGGCTGCTTTGGAGAGATCTCCTCTTACTTTCTCTTCTGTCTATGGGATATTCATAAAAGAGAAATCTCCCTAACAAGAAAAAACAAACCCAACAGAGATCTTTTTTTTTATTATTTTGCATTCTATCTTTATTAAAGTTTTTGCAAAAGTTTACAGAACAGGTACCAAAAATACAAGTACAAGCAATAAAGACAAAAACCGATAACCATTCAGGCTGTCCTGTAAACAGAGTCCTATCACATAAGGTTCTCTGCCCAACAGAGGTCTTCACCATTCCCCACTCTTTAAAAAAAAAAAAATTGGTTTAACATACTACGGCCCGGCTCACACTAGGGCAGGCACGGCAGCCCATTCATTTGAGACCCAGTCCGCACTTGCGTGGGCATGGCAGCCCACTCATTTTAATGCACTGCTTTGCCTGAGTTTCAAGCACCTTTTCCTTGAACACATCCACACAGAAACTGCATTATCTTTTTGACCATGCGGTTTCCTTGCAGCTCCCACACTCACAATCATGCTGCAGAATGAATAGCACTCCCTTGCACCTCGCAAGAGAAACTGTAACATACCTGGTGGTAGAACCTAAAGTGCAGAGGAAGGCCTCCCTTGTAGTTCTGGCTCAGGGGCCCTGGTAGAGTAACAGGGAGCGCCGGAACCATGGGCGGACTGACAACCCATGGGGCCCCCGGGCAATAGGGATCATGGGGCCCCTGTGTCCTTGCCCAAGCTCACAAAAGCCTATAAGAAAGGTACCAGGGGCATCTCATGGGGTCCTCTACTGACCCCGGGCCCTCAGGCAGTGCCCGAGTTTCCAAATGGTCAGTCCGCCCCTGGCCGGAGCACAGAGGTGCACGAGTACCTGGTAAGACTTCTGCGGATGGATGTTGATGTGCATCAGTAATGCAGAGGCAGCTGGTGGATGGCACGCTGGCTGAAGTACAGGAGCAGCTGGCCGATAGCACACTGACAGAAGTGCAGGAACGGCTTGGCAGATGACACTCAGGCAGAAGTGCAGGAGCAGGAAACTGGCAAGAGTAAGCCGATTCAGGTGCAGGAGCAGAATAAGGCAAGGTCAGGGTTGGCAACTAGCAGGCAGAGTAAGCAGAAATGGCAGCCAGAAGAATAGTCAAAGGGCAGGCCAGGGGTTGGTACAGGCAGCATTCAAGCAGGGTCAATAACAGATCAGATCAGCAACAGAATCACAGATAACAGGATGCATGGGTGCTCAGAAGTATTAGAGCAAACGGCACCAATGCAAGGCAATAGCCCACCTGGCGTCAATGTGACATTGCGCGTGCGCACACCTGTGTGCACGATCGCCCACGAGCATTCACCAATCGGCCACAAGCAGGGCTAACAGGGGTTCTGCGCCTGCGCATAGATATGCACATTCCCTGACAGAAACGATGCAGGTGGTGGCGAGTGCAAGAACAGGTGTGATTCCTGCACCCGCAACCATAGGTTAGTGTGAACCAGAAGTTATCAAAATTGTTAAAAAGAGGGAGATTACTGACATGGGAAAGCTCACACCCATCTCTGACCCTATACCCTTCAACCCCGGACTCTAGCTAGGTAAACAATAAGATTGATGGGGATGTTGGCAACATTATGAATTCAATTGTTTTATGAATTTGGCTGTTGCTGGTGTTTTTTAATTCTAGATAATGATCTTCTAGTACAATTTTTTCAGTTGGATTAGGTAACCACATATTGTCTATAGTGACCGTTGAAACTCAGCCCTTCTTCAGGGGCTACAACTGGTCTAACAAGTATGTTACCTTGTACAATCGTTCCCCTTCCCACCACAGTAGCCTGTGTCTTCCTACTCATCTGTCCAAACATACCGTATAAAAGTGCGTGTACTCAACTGAGATGAGCATACACTTTTATGAATGGACTGTCGACAATTTTGTGCTCCTGTACCTTTAGGAGGGGTGGGCTCCCTCAGGTCCACCTGCCCTTGGTCTATCCATTAAATATATGTGCATCTACTATGGGGGCTCTTAAAATTTGAGTTAGGAACTACAGAATATCAGGGTGCCGTGATGAGACTCTGTAGCTTACACGTGTTTGAAATGTGTGCTAACTAAACCCCTGTTTTTAACCCCGTTGTATATAAACGACTGGACGGTGGCACTGCAGGGTCGGGGTGGCCGTTTATAAACAGCCTCCCCGCACCCTGCTTGTGCACGTTCCCTGGGAGCGTGCAGCACCGCGATCCGGTGCCCGCTGTGTCCTCCGGACACAGTGGAACACCGATCTTCATACAGGACCTCTGTACGAGGTCTCGATCATGTGATCACTGATTGGTCAATCAGTGATCACATGCAGAGTAGTAAGCAAGATGTTGCTTCTGACATCATTGCTTACTACGTGTGAAATCTGTGAATGATCACAGAGGTCACATGGTACAAGGCTATTCACAACAGCCTTGTACCATGTGACAAGCTGTGACCAATCACAGCTCACTCAGTAGTTCTCAATGGCTGCAAGAATGCAGCCAGAGAGAAGGAGAAATGATTGCTTTTACAGTCTTTATGAGTGTAAAAGCAATCAGTGTAAAAAAAAAAAAAAAAAAAATCTTCATCACCCCCCACAAGTAGTACAGTATCACCATGGTGACACTGTACTGCTAGGGTGACAGTATGTAAAAAAAAAAAATATAAATATAAAATATTTAAAAAATGTTAAAATGTTAAAAAAATGTTTAAAAATTATTTTTTTTTTTTACTAAAAATATAAAACGGAATACATTTTGGCCAAGATTTATGATGAAACACTTTTTTTCAAAATTGTTGGACTTTTTAATTTACATAGCAAAAAAAAATAAAAATCCCAGTGGTGAATAAATACCACCAAAATAAAGCTTTATCTGTCTCAAAAAAATTCATATGGGTACAGTGTTGCATGACCGCGCAATTGTCATTCATTCAGTGTGATAGCACTGAAAGCTGAAAATTGTCCTGGACAGGAAGGGGGAATAAGTGTCCGGACTGGAAGTGGTTAACGCATACTATTAGACAGGTTAATTCAGTTCGTTTGCAGGCTGGTTGGAAAGTTGAGCTGGGAATTTTTATTTTTGTTGTTTGACATGCGTCGCCCTTCCATGTACTCCTTGCTGTGAAGGCCAGTTATAGACTGGGGAAGTGGCCATTTTTTGTACTGTAGACAATTTTGCCTGAGGGCGTTCAGATTCTGCCTGCACATCTCCACCACCTTATGATGCATGCTGTACCTTAGGTTAGACGTTTGACTTTTCTAAAAAAAATATTATTTACAGGACTACAAGGTCAAAGAAATAAAAGAAGAGAGAATTGACAGCACAGAAAACAAACATGTTAGGGAAATAAATTAATTTGCCTAGAAGAAACCAGTTTAATTAACATTTTCTTTCACTGTCTTTGTGTAAGCACCTAGGCAAGGAAAACAATTACTAGCAACTGGGGCCCAAGTATCAAAGGACTGCAGGTTATGCACCAGAGTATAGACTAAGGCTAGGCATAAATGGAACAAATTTCTCTCTTGTAACCATGGGTTGAAGGAAAGAAATTTGTTTGATATCCCCATCAACTCTGACAGTGCTGACAGGAGAATCCCTCTCGCGGAGCTATTGTGTTCTCCCAGTGGGGAAGGCTGCAACAGCTGCTAGCATTAATCGCGTGTAAATTTCGGCAGGCTGATTATACCCAAGTTGATAAACCTTGGGTACATTCAGCCTGCCCACACATGGTTCGAATCTCAGCTGGTTCAAAGATTCGAACAGTCTATGGCTGTCTTCGCAAAGGAAAAAGAATGGATGATGACATGTTTCTTGAACAATAGCAGTAATTCGTGACTGCACTCTTCATTGGTTCTCATTTTATCTCATCTTCAGTGTCAATGACAACTCTACCTCCTTCTCTACTATTCCTTTTTATGTTGGAATCCCCCAAGGTTCTGCCCTAGGACCCCTCTTAATCTTGATCTCCACCACCTTCCTGGGTCAGCCTCATGGCTTCCAACACCATTTCTTTGCTGATGACACCTAATTCTATCTTTCTACCCCTCAGCTCACTCCTCACACATCGCTAATTTACTGACATATCAATATGGATGTTAACATCGAACTCAATCTATCCAAAAATGAGCTTATAATATCCCCCCCCCCCCCCCCATGTGCCCCTTCCTCTGACCTTTCTGTCAAGATTGTTGCCACAACTATCATTCCATTGCTACATGCCAGGGTGCTTGGTGTAAACATGGATTCTGAACTCTCCTTTCGGCCCCATATCCAATTGCTGTCCAAACCATGCCCCCTCAATCTCTGTAACATCTCCAAAATATAATATAGGTATGTCCTGTGAGCCACTACAAATATTTAATATAGAATAAGTTAAAAGGCTCCTAGCTACATCCTCATTATATGTACTGAAAATGACAATTTAAAAATAAAAATGGTGCCGCGCCCTTATATTGTACCCATGAGTAAATAAATAAAATCTATATTTAAATAATAATTAAATAATAATTAAATATTTTATAATAATATTAAATAATTTAATATTTATAAATATAATAATGAATAAATATCAATTTAAATATTGATTTTATTTATTTACTCATGGGTACAATATAAGGGTGCGCGGGCACCATTTTTATTTTTAAAATCTCCAAAATATACCCCTTCTTATTCAACAACACCACAAAGCTTCTGATTGACTCCCTGGTTATCTCTCACCGTAACTACTGCAACTTCCTCCTCATTGGCTTACCTGAACATAGCCTATCCCCCCTTCAGTCCATCATGGAATCTGCAGCCAGATTCATCCACCTTACCAACCATTCAGCGTCTTCTACCCTTCTCTGCCCATCCCTCCATTGGCTTTTGATTGTCCAACAAATAAAATTCAATGAGCAGAGCCTTCTGATTCCCCCCTATTGAATTGTATTGTAACCAGCGGTGTCCCTAGGGGGGTGCGGGCCACACCAGGTGACACCATCACAGGGGGCGCAACAGCAGGTTGCCAGCAGAGCTTCTGGGCTCTGTGAAGGTCCTGGCCAGTTATTGGGGTGATCCCGGATTCCTGGCACAGTCACAGCTGCCCCCAGTGTAGCGGTAAAATGAGTATCCCGTGAAGATATGTATCCCGGTACAACCTATACGGGGTTAACTGATCTTGCAACCCATAGTGATCCACGGGATCAGCTTCAGCGGTTTGCAGCCTGTAAGGAGCAGGGGCGGACTGACCATTTGGAAACTCGGGCACTGCCCGAGGGCCCGGGGTCTGTAGGGAGCCCCATGAGATGTCCATGGTACCTTTTTCATAGGCTTTTTTGAGTTTGGGCAAGGACACAGGGGCCCCATGATCCCCTATTGCCCGGGGGCTCCATAAGTTGTCAGTTTGCCCCTGGTAAGGGGTTCACTGTGGCAGCTCTGTGCTAAAGTCGGAGATCGGCTTCTTTGGCCTGAAACCGGCACATGCGCAGTTGCTTCAGGGGATACATATCTTCACGGGATACTCATTTTACCGCTACACCGGCTCCGCTCCTTCCTCTCTGGAGTGGTGGCACCACGTGTTATTGCATTGGGTGACACCAACCCTAGGGAAGTCACTGTTTGTAACTATGCCGTCTGCCCTAATTTTGTAAAGCGATGTGCCAACTGTTGGCACTATATAAATCCTACATATAATAAGTTTAAATTGAGAGTAGCTGAAGAAAAAAAAAATCACAGTTTGTCTCAAGACTGTGCGACGCCCTCACCTCCCGTCCGCTTACTCAGCTGCCATAGGCACACAAGTGCCATTGTGGTAAATGCAGAGCTGTCAAGTTGTAAGGAAGGAAAGTCTGCTAGTACACTTGAGCTACTTGCTGTATCAAAGCAATTTATCTGCAAGACTTTTATTTCCATTGAAATGTATCATTTAGGGCGTACAGTGGCCCATAAGAGCTGATTAATAAAGATATGAAGCAGAGCCAGGTCTCACCTGCAGCCAGTGCCTCTGCTGGGGTGATGCTATCTTCTACTTGTCCTAATGCATTATGTATTTGTATAAAGCTTTAGTTTGACTGGGGATAGATTAGATGTGACCTACTCTAAAACAAACAGAGAAAAGTGCCATTAGTGCACCTGGTGAATTTTATTTTGAGTTTCCAACTTTATAATGATTTATCTAATTTTTCCTTATTTGTATAAAATCTTCATTTTACAAATCAACATTATAAACAAGGTGCATCTGTGAATGCCTGCTTTTTGGCAACCTCTTTCTGATTGACTACCATCTTGACCAGAAGAGATTGAAGAGATTGACCAGAAGAGATTGACAGATGAGTCCAGTCCCGCAGTCATTCAGTTGAGTGTGTGTGTGTGTGTGTGTTGTAGTTTGATCTCCAGCTATTGAAGTCTACTGAAAACATATTATATTTAAGCTATTTACAATAGGACAGTAAATACACTACCAGAAACACCGGACTTGCCATGTAGAACGTGCCAATTACCAGTTGCAAAAATTAAAATGTAACATGTGTACCATATTGCAATTTTACTCTAAATAAGGGTGTAACATGATGCAAAAGGTGATGTAGCCTTTAACCATTACAGCCAAATTGGTGTTTCAAGACCAACAGTCTACATCAGCCTTTCATAACCTTTTTAACATGGAGGAACCTTTCACATAACATTTTGGCTTCAGAGACCCCCTACTAATATTAATTATATTTACAGCCTACAGTACATTAGTGTGATGGTCAGTGGGAAGAATGCTCCTTACATTTGTGGTCATTGGGAGGAATTACCTCCCTTATACATAGCCAAAATGATCAATGGTGTCAATGAATACTTATCCAAGCAGTGGAAATAGCTTATTGGTCAAAGAACCCCTAATTAGCTCTGGAGGAACCCTAGGCTTCCACGGAACCCTGGTTGAGAAAACCTGGTCTATATGGTATGACTACATACGTGATGTAGTCATAGGTCAATATCCACCCTGAACACCCTGGGGTTTATTTACTAAAGCTGGAGAGTCCAAAATCAGACTCCCTTCTGCATAGAAACCAATCAGCTTCCAGGTTTCATTGCCAAAGCTTCATTGAACAAGCTGAGGTTAGAAGCTGATTGGTTTCTATGCAGAAGGGAGTCTGATTTTGGACTCTCCAGATTTAGTAAATAAACCCCCCTGTGTCCACAAAAACAAACCAACAAAGGGTCCACTCATACCACAATGTTGACAATGATGTCAAAATGAATGGTTGAGAATGCACCACAGTGCATATGAAAATGGGGCAGGCTTCACTTTCCTGTAGTGCAACTCACAGGACACCATGACTTATACTGCGTTGTGTTGCAGTACACACGCATTTCCAAGGTGCTTTGGGATGCTGTGCACAATGAATGGAGCTGCAGTTTTACCTCCCCCTGCTGCCCACCCAAATGCTAGAATTACAGGAGGACAGGGCCATGCATATGCCATGGCTGTGATGCTTTGATTGGCAGTCACAAGCATTTTTAGCTCGAATTGCAGAATTTGACAGGTGGCCCCCTTTGATTCAGTGGGAGAGCACTGCAACCATGGACCAAACACCTAACCACTTGCAGACCAGCGGAGCACCGGTACGTTCCTGGACTTTAAGTGGTTGATGCCTGATAATTCCCGGTACAGGGTTTTTAGAGCCGACAGTCGTAAAAGCAATCCTAGAGTCTAACCAGCCTCTGAATTGCTTTTCTCTTAGATTATAAGCTCTAATTAGCAGGGCCCTCTCTTTCTTCTTGTACCAAATTGTATTTATTTATTTATTTCAGGTACTTATATCACACTGTCAATTTACGCCGCGCTTTACATATATATTGTACATTCACATCAGTCCCTAACCCTCAAGGAGTGTACAATCTAAGGTCCCTAAATCACATTCATACATACACATATTAGGGCCAATTTAGACAGGAGCCAATTAACCTTCCAGCATGTCTTTGGAGTGTGAGAGGAAACCGGAGTACCCGGAGGAAACCCACACAGGCACAGGGAGAACATGCAAACTCCAGGCAGGTGGTGCCGTGCCTAGGATTCAAACCAACAACCCCAGTACTGCCAGGCGGAAGTGCTAACCATTTAGCCACTGTGCTGCCCGTATCAGGGGTGGACTGACAACTCATGGGGCCCCCGGGGCAATAGGGGATCATGGGGTCCCTGTGTCCTTGCCCGAACTCAAAAAAGCCAATGAAAAAGGTACCAGGGGCATCTCACGGGGCCCCCTACTGACCCCAGGCCCTCAGGCAGTTCGCCCCTGGCCCGTATTGTAACTGTAATGTCTGCCTTCATTTTCTGAAGTGCTGTGCAAATTCTTGGTGCTATAAAAAATCATGTATAATAATAATAATAATATACAAGTGGTGGGAAGTGACATTCCCTCCCCCCGACACCTTCTGCGGCTTTCTTGGGCTGTTCTGTGCCACTGGGACACCCAGTCAACCAGCCGGTGCTTCCGCCAGTTGATCATAGAGGTGAACAAAGACTGGAACCTCTCTGTTTGCCTATAGGAATCCGGAATAGGATATGGGAATCCGGAAGCAATCAGCATGCAGCACTTCTGGTTACCCCATATGTCAAGTGAACCATTTTTAAAAATGAAAAGCATCTGATCGCATTGATCATGGTGTGATCAAATGCTTTTAAGGGTGGAGGCGGGATCCTGGGTCATATAGACCCCAGATCTCTCCATGAAGAGTACCTGTCACTGCTTAATTATATTTACATTCCTTGTGACAGCAAAAAAGTAATGAAAAAATAAATTTAAAGTGACAGTGTAAAAATAAAAAAAAATGTAAAAAATGAAAGCGCCCTTGTACCCATATGCTCACGCACAAAGGTGAATGCAAATTTACATCAATTGTCGCCTTTTCATGGGTGTGTGAAAGTTTAAAGTGTGACATGTGTGGTATCTGTTTACTCAGAGTAACATCATCTTTTATAATTTACCAAAAATTAGGTTATGTATTGTGTTTTTTTGCAGTAAAATTCCAAAAAGTTTTTTGTTTTCAAGAAAAATGTGTTTGAAAATCCGCTGCACAAATACCGTGTAACATAAAAAATTGAGATACCCTCCAGTTTATTCTCTAAGGCAGGGGTTCTCAAACTTATTACACAGGGGGTCAGTTCACGGATCTTCACACAGTTGGGAGGCGGACTATAGTTTGAAAAAAATATGAACAAATTCCTATGCACACCGCACATATCTTATTTGTAGTGCAAAAAAAAAGTAAAAAAAAACAGTACAATATTTAAAATGCACTGTACTCTGTAACGCACTGGACACTGCAATGCACTGTACTCTGTAACCCACTGGACACTGCAATGCACTGTACTCTGTAATGCACTGGGCACTGCAATGCACTGTACTCTGTAATGCACTGGGCACTGCAATGCACTGTACTCTGTAATGCACTGGGCACTGCAATGCACTGTACGCTGTAACCCACTGGACACTGCAATACACTGTACTCTGTAACAAACTGGACACCGCAGTGCCCTGTACTCTGTAACGCACTGGACACTGCAATGCACTGTACTCCATAACGCACTGGACACTGTGCAATGCACTGTACTCTGTAACGCACTGGACACCGCAATGCACTGCACTCCGTAATGCACTGGACACTGCAATGCACTGCACTCTGTAACGCACTGGACACTGCAATGCACTGCACTCTGTAACGCACTGGACACTGCAAAGCACTGTACTCTGTAACGCACTGGACACTGCAATGCGCTGCACTCGTAACGCACTGGACACTGCAATGCGCTGCACTCCGTAACGCACTGGACACTGCAATGCACTGCACTCTGTAACGCACTGGACACTGCAATGCACTGTACTCTGTAATGCACTGGACACTGCAATGCAGTGTACTCTGTAATATACTGGACACCGTAATGCACTGTACTCTGTACCCAGTGAGCAGCCTAGCTATTTGCCGGCCAGCGCCAGTTTTTTTTTTTTCTGGCTGGCCCGGCGGCAGGTTGGATAAATGTCTTTGGCTGGCAGTATCCGGCCCTTGGGCCGTAGTTTGAGGACCCTGCTCTATGGTCTCTGCTTTAAAAAATATAAAATGTTTTGGGGTTCTAAGAAATTTCCTAGCAAAAACTACTGATTGTTCCATGGAAACAAAAAGTGCCAGGAAAGGTCTGGTCTTCAAGTGGTTGAAAAAAAAGGCAGCAGGATTGCTTCCTGATCGTCTGACAAGGACTGATTTACAACCCTCTGAAAAGCAATCCACTGCCAAAAGCGTGTGAGTTAGTGTGATAGTAAGCTCTCATTTTAATCCCTTACTGAATATGCAGCTTCATTATCTTGTACACCAGGTTCACACTGAACCTGACTATGAAATTGGGTGACATCACTTGCAGTTGCATGATTTTAAAGCCACAGGTTAGTGCGACTTCAGTTGTGACTTGCCTGACATCTGTGCGACTTAATACATAAATGCCGATGCAACTTACACTTGAAATGACAAAAAAAATAGTGCAGGAACCTTTTTTTTTCAAAGTGGTGTGGCACAGCAAAATCAGAGTCACACAATCTGAATGGTTCCATTGTCGACAAAAGGGTGCGACTTGTCATGCGATTTGGAACTGTCGAATTGCATGACAGGTTGCACCGGTGTGAACCAGGGCTTACTTCGTGTCTATGTTCCAGTTTAAGCTGGTGCCATGAATGCTGCACCAGATTTCCTGTTTCAGGGTGACTCCTTTCTCCTGCAGCATCATTTGGAGCCACCCTTGTATGCAGGGATTAGAGTTGTGTCCCCCTACATTATGTGCATCAATAGAAACACACAGACTCATAGCCTAGCATGGCAGGGCACTCCCTTCCTCCTCCCTCCTCCCATGTCCAACTTCACAGACAGAATAGAAAACTACACTGTCCACTTTTAACTCTTTCCCACGAAGACCAGATGTTCAGGAAAGCAGCACTGAAAGAGCAGAATCCAACAGAATTGAAAGTTCTAAACTTCAAGTGATAGGGTAGGAATATTATCAAATAATTTACTGTAAAGCTGTAAAATGTTTATGTTATTGTGCTCAAAGTGTTACGCCAAAAGAATGCTGAAGAATTAATGTTCATTTAAGGTCATGTAAACAAGGCTGAACATTTTGAGTGCCATGAACAATATCCCTTTCCAGTGTGGGAGATAATAATGGAAAGAAGCAATAGTGTGTGTAACAAAGGTGTAGAAATCACTAGATCTCCCACAAGAAGTTAACAAAAAGAGCAATGACACTGTGCAAGGAGCTGTGATCCCATTTCACTCTGCTGTAGAATGCTGCCAGCCGGTAGCTGGATCCTTCAGTCTACTGTGCTACTGCAGACACGGGGTCACTCCAGACATTGTACACATGTCTCCCTGTTTACACTTCTAGTCCCTGTTCACACACACATTCCCATGCTGTTGTTTCCTACGGCTCAAGCTATTCCCTTTATTCATTTAAAGTAAATGTATTCCCCAATTAAACGGCATTTAGCTTGCTAAAGCACTGTGCATCATAAACAATTGCCATGGCTTTTCACAAATTACTGTGTTTTACTTTTTTTTTTACCGTCTTTGCATCTCAGTGCTTTGGTAGCAATGGCAAGATCTCCCAGACAGAATTTTTTGGTTTGCCTGTAAAAGAGCTTAAATGCAGCTCAATAGACAGCCGTGGCACACAAAAGAGGCATTTGATCATTATGGCCATGTTGGAAGAGAGGAGGGTAGCTGCCCCAGGTGAAGAGTTTTGATATGGGGGGCCAGCGTGGCGAGCTGCACCCTCATCACATGCACACACTGCCTTTCCTTTTGCTGGTAGGTCCAGATGTAGCAGTACACCCTACACACTAAAACAGTAGGGGGAAGGAGGAGGGTGTAGGGCCATCCTCAGAGGGGGGTGGATGGAGTGTTCTACAGCCTACACAAAGCACATATGAACGGTTCAGAGGTCTGCACATATTGAGGGATAAGAAGGTGGTTTTCATGAGGGGAGCAAAGCCTACCTTGGTGTAGAGCTAATCCAATTATCTCATGGTTCATACTCTGTATGCACTCATACTTGGACTGGAGAGTTGCCATCGTGTGATTCAGGTGTGTGTGGAAACAGTTCATGCTATCAAATCACATTATTGTGACCAAATGTAACTCATAAGGAGCTTTGTCTCTCTGTCCTACCTCATAAGGAGGCAGGGCCACCTATCCTATCTCATAAGGAACCATGTCCATCTGACCTACTGCATAAGTAGTTGTTAGGGACCAGCCGGTGGTAGCCTCTAGCGGCCCACAGACCAGAATTCCCCAGGGCGCGGAATCTAAGTTCCGACTTGCTTGTTCACCAGAGCCCCTGATGGTGGGGATGGACTTGGAGCAAGCCGAGACCAGGTCGCGACCCCTGGATGCAACCAGCTGTGGAAGAGGCACCTGTCGGTGGTACGCAGCAGGTGAGAGTCTGCTGTGAGGAGGTAGAGTAAGCGAGGTCAGACAGGCTGGGTCGGTAACAGCGGAGCAGGTCGGTACAAACAGCAGGCAGAAGAATAAACGGGTCACGGTCCGGGTTTGGCAACAGAAGATCAAAAGTGCAGGAGCAGGCAGGAGAATGGTCAGGCAAGCCAGGGGTCAGAGCAGGAGAAGTCAGCAGATCAGGATCAGGCAGGGTCAGCAGCAAAGTAAACTCACAGGAAAGACCATACAGCACTTGAGCATTGCAAGAGCTGGGTTTAAATAGCCAGCCCAACTCCTGACAGGCGCTCCTGGGTCCTAATGCTTGCCTGGTGCCTTCATTGGTGACAGGCGCGTCTGGGTCCTAGTGCCCGCCTGCCTGTACGTTTTGTCAGGACTCTACGCATGTGCGGATTCGATCGCCGCAGCGATCTTCCCATTCCCTGACAGTAGTTATGTTCTCCTGTCCTACCTCATAAAGAACCATGTCCATCTGTCCTCTTCAGTTGTCCATCACAAAGAATCATGTTGTGTTCTTCAAAAAGAACCATGACTCTCTGTCCTACCTCATAAAGAACCATGCACATCTGTCCTCCTCAAGTGTTCATCATAAAGAACCATGTCACTCTGTCCTCCTCAGGTTTTCCTCATAAAGAACCATGACCCTCTGTCTTATCTCATAAAGAACCATGTCCATCTGTCCTCCTCAGGTGTCCATCACAAAGAACCATGTCGCTCTGTCCTCCTCAGGTGTTCTTCATAAGGAACTATGACCTTCTGTCCTACCTTATAAAGAACAATGTCCATCTCTCCTCCGCACGTGTTCATCATACAGAACCATGTCATTCTGTCCTCCTCAGGTGTCCAT